TACTGGCTCATGGACAGCCTGTTGTCCGCCAGGGCTCTCACGTCCTTCTCCTCAGAGCAGCTTTCCAGGAGGTCGGCTCCCAGCCTGTGCTGGTGCTTGGGGTCATTCCTCCCCAGGTGCAGGGCCCTTGTTGCATTTCGGAAGGTTCGAATCATAGAATCATAGAATCAGCCGGGTTGGAAAAGAGATCATCAAGTCCCACCCTTGATCGTTTCACAACGATTTCAAAATAGTTGTTTGTTGGTTTTTTTCTTTTGTTTGGGTGTTCGTGGTTTTGTTGTTGTTTTTTTTTGTTTTGTTATTGTTTGTTCGTTTGTTTGTTTTTCTTCGCAAGGTGATTTGTTTCCCTTCCCGCGCGGTTCCCGCCGCCGTGCCCCTCCCGCCCTGCGGGGGCGCTGCCGGCACCGCAGGCTGTAGACGGCCGGAGCGCCGGCAGCCATTGCCGTGGCGGCGGGCCGCATGCGGGGCCGGCGGCAGCGGGGGTCGGGAGGTCCGGGGCTGCTGGACGTGGGACGGGCGGGCGGTGAGGGCGGGGAGCGCGGGGCTTCGCGTCGTGGGCAGCCGAGGCAGGGGTCACCAGGCCACCCGGGCCGCCGGTGCGCCACTGGTCCCTCGTTGTCTGAGGAGCTGCTTTCCGGGCACGGCTGCAGGTAATGCGGAGTAAATAATGGGGAGGTGGGTGGGTGGGGGAAATCCACGTTTAAATAATATCGGCATTCGTGACGACGTTTTCATGAGAACCAAAAAAAACAATGTTAAAAAGGCAGAAAGCTTCGCTTTAGTTGCTGATACCGGGCGGATGGCTCTGCTGGCGGTCATGGGGGTTTACGTGTGCAATTAATGCTGAATTTCCCTGCGTCGCTTGGATTTCACGGCGCTGCTCCTGCCCGCGGTTAGGGTAGGTCCTTGGCCTCGCTGTTGGTGGCTTGTTCTCATCACACGGGGATTTAAATCAGTGTGACTAGCACGCCTTAGCTCTTATCTCGCTGTGCTTTGCTGTGGGATATTACAGGTAGTTTTTCAACGCATTGTAATTCTCAATAAATCTTGGGTAAATACTTCGAATACAGCGTGAGTCTGTAAGAAGTGGCCTGCAGGGCCAGGCCAGCGGCCCATGTAGCCCTGTATTCTTTCTTTCAAGAGCAGCATTAGCAGATGACAATTACAGAGAACTTGTCAGCCTAAGTACTGTAATACTTGGTTGTTTGCAGGGCTAGAAGACATTTTGCTGATCAATTCAAAATGTAGCAGCAAGAAGGCCACGACTTTACAGACAGTCAGGATGCCAAGGAGCAGTGGTAAGTAGGAGCTTGTTGCTGGAACGGTGTCAAGGAGTAGGTAACATCTGTGACATAAACTTTTCTTCAGTGCTTTCCTTCCACAGGTAAAGGGAGAAACTCTTGTGTTCAGTTTCTACTGGTGCTACGTCCTCCACTGCAGTTCCATGTCCTGCAGGTTCTTCATGTAACTTAGACGTAAATTATATTTTGCAATGCTAGGCATTACAGCTGTAAGTTTTAGGGACAGATTATTCTTTTTCAGTTGTTGCCTTTTTTTTTTTTTTCTGATCTGGGTTTTTTACTTCTTTTTAGAAGTAATTTCTCAGTATGATATATCTGTTGTATAAAAGCATTTAGTTTAAAATGGACTCCTGGCAAATTATTGTATTTTTGTGTTGTGATTGAGCTGAAATTTAAAAAGTAATAGCAAAAAAAAATTGTTAGATCAAATTCTTTCTTGGATAAAAGTCTCTACAAAGATGACAGTGTTTCAAAGGTACATTATACCTGTTGGACTTTTGTGAGGCTCACCTGGAATATTACCTCTTCTCAAAGAAAGAGAACTAGTGATTGGCTCACCTGCATGTGTGCAGCAAAGTTTATTTGAAAAGGCTCTGAGGCAGGTTGAACATATTCTTTTCCTCCATGGAAGGGAAATGAGTGTGATTCTCCTAATGACACTGATTACCTTAAAATTCTTGGGAAGTCCCACTGAGCTTAGAGGGATAATTCTGTAGAAAGTGCTTCATACTTCGACCTAGAGCATCTGTCTCTCTCTCACCATCTTAATTTCAGAGTTCTTCTTGTTAATTATGTTGATTTTCATTAGTCTAGCATGGCATCTGTGCTACAGCTAATTTTTCCATCTTCTTTGAGACCTTCAGACTATACTTTAAAAGGGAAGAAAAGAGGATGCAATTATATTTCCATTGGAGATAATGCTGATATGGAAGTTCTTCAGGATGGCATTTAATATATGTTTTAAACCATGGAATTTGAAAGCAAGTTCTCTGTAAAGTAATCACATTTTGTTTTAAGAATCCAAGTGGAATTGTTGAAGTGACTTCTTCCTGCACCAAATGCTGACCAATGGATCCAATATATTTTTGCTGTTTATGTCTTGGAAAATTGAAAACTTTAATAAATGCTTCTGTTAAAACATCTTAAATTCTGTAGGCTGCTGGAAATTACAGTTGAAATGGAATCTGTTTAACGGCTCAGGTTTCTGAGGTATAAATGTGAAAACTGATGTGCATCTCTTTGAATAATTGTTTCTTTTCAGTTTTGGACCGAGTACAGAGCTTTTTACCACAGATGGCCCAGGCAAATGATGAGCTGAAAAGAAAAATGATAACAGCACCAGCTCATCAATTTGATATTGAAAATCTAGACAGTGCAACAGAAAAAGTTATAGAAATGGTAAGTACTTACTATGTTTTTAATTTTATAAAGTAAATTTAGATGTGATTAAAATAACTCTCTGATCTTAGAATGAGCTAATATGGTAGATAAGGTGAGGTCTTTACTATTTTAGTCTGTGATCTGCTAATGCAAAACATAGATATAATAAAAATGCTTATTTGGTTGATACTTACAACTTGGTTTTCAAACTTGCAGAATGGAATGACTGAAGATGGAGTAGTTTAGGACCAGAGTAAGACATACTTTTGAATCAGCAACTCTGAATCAAAAGTCACAAATTCTATTTTAAATATCTCCTAGGAAAATTTGGGTTAGAAACTGGACAATTATATTGTATGCCTAGTAAGGCATAACAAGACTTTAGTGTAAGAGTAGTAACTGGCTTTAAGTTGTGCTCTGTCAGTATTTTTAGGACTGACTATAGATCTTGAGTTTAGAAAAGTTGTTATGTTGTTGTGATCCTTTGTTGCTGGTATTTGTCTATTTATTCACAGTCACATCAATATTTTCTTTCTAGTTTTAACTAAAGTGCTGCAGCCACATGCTTAGATAAGAAAATTTTAATATGAAGGTGGTGTGTGCATGACCCAGCCAAGTGCCTTCTGGCCTGCAGACCCACAAGGTAAAAGGCAGAGATAAGGCAGCCTGGGGTTTGGTGTGTGAGCTGTCAGAAAAATTTACTGGCCACTGGTTGGATTCAGGCCTTATATTTGCTATAGGGCAAGATAAATTACAATTTAAATATTTAGGCATCTCTTCATGATATTTGTCATAGTCCTAGGAAAACCCAAAAGTCTTTCATATTGTGGTTGTGGTTTTCTTATGGTAGTAGGATGTTTCATGTGTTTGCTTTATGTTTTACTCCAATGATAGAAGTGATACAGAAATGTATAATATGTTAACCAAGATCTTTTTTTTTTTCCCCAGAATGTGGCTGTAGTTGAACTGAGTGATTCTGATACAGATGAGGAGATGCTAACTTCAGAAGATGACTCGGAATCTGAAGATGACTCTGTCAGCGATGAAGTGACAATAGACAACATTAAGTTTCCTAAGCAAAAGGGAGAAAAGGGCAAAATAGAAATTTTGGACAGCAAAGTGAATGAGTAAATCCATTTTATTTTACTTTAAAAAACCCAACAAAACCAACTCATGTCTTCTCACTTTGAAGACTTGGCCCTTAAAACTATTTTGTTTCCCAGTGTAGCATCTCTTGTGTGAAATGCTACAGTTTACGTGGTGGAGAATTCAGGATCAACTCATGACTGAAGGAGGCTGGGTTTCTGAAGATTTAAGTACGATTTGATGCATCCAAAAACATGGACATGGACTTTGTAGTAGATTAGACTGAGAAAGCAGCTTGAGTAAGGATCACTTGAACGAATTAAGTTAAAATTCTTGTTCTGTTGCTTTGTTGAAAAGGGCTTTTTTAATAGTATGATAGACATTTTTACTTCAAGGGCAAGAAAGAGTTAACTAGGAAAAAAGCTTTGTTTTTATATTGTTATGTACAATGTCTTCCATATTAAACATTATCTTAAAGTACCTCAGAGGTATGTCTACATTGCATTCATGACAATGACTGCTGAACACCAGAGCAGTGGCTGAGGTCCTTTCCAGCTGGGCTAGCATGGGTAAGGACAGCCATGGCAGAGGATTACTTACTCTCTTCCTGCATTGAGCTCTGCACCTTTACGGGAATGTTACAAGCTCACATGTGAAACATTTGTGGCTGTGCCAATAACCTCCATATTCAAATGGTCCACTGTGCCTCTGGGGTGTTACAATTGCTTTAAGTTACAGTTTTCATCCCCCACTTTCCCTGCTACATTTCCATTCTCTCCATTTGGTTAACAGCTGTCACTGTCAGAAGGATAAAAAGGTGAATTTTCAGCTGGCCTGTACTTAGGTTAGCTTGAAACAATTGTGAAACTAGGATCAGTGAGTCTCATTCATACTTACCTGAGATGGATCAAATACAATGATTTGGGCTGTTGTATTTACTTCATAGATTGGTTTGTATTTCAGAAGTGTCTGTCATGCTGGATGTTATTGTTTCTTAAAGAAACTTTGTATTTTTTACACCATTAAAGTAAAATCTTCTATATTGTATTTGCTCAAATATTAAACTTAATGTCATGAATTGAAGCCTGCAGTTATTTACAAAATTTATTTTGAATCCCATACTTAAAGCTCCAGTTTTAGTATCTGTTTCTGTAATATTCGTGATAAGAAACAACAAGGATTCTGATCTTCCTTTCACAATGTGACTTAAACATAGAATGAAGACACGATTTACTGGGATTAGATGATTAAACCACTGAATATTTTAGCAAAGGGGAAGGATGGGAATCAAAGAATCAGACTGCTACCTTTAATGGCAGCACACAGATCAGATGAAGCTTTGGGTGGTGTTGCATTCTAAGAGCAAGTAGTCTTAGTAGGCATAGTTTGTTAGATAAGGTTTCAATCTATAGAACGTTTTCTTCCAACAGAAAAAAAGTTTTAAAGCCAACATCTTACCTTGGTCATTTTACAGGAGATTTTCCCACAGATTAAAAAAACCCCGAAAGTATGAAATACAAAATAATAATCATGCTGTATGAAAGAGTGATAACAGTCCACATGCACAACACAAGAAGTGATTTTAATCTGTTAATGTAATCACCTTTCAAATTGCAGGCAGATCACACATTCTGTATCAACAAAAAGGTAGAAAATATTTTCAGTAACTTTAGCTTGATATGCATAGTTTAACACCAATGTTGAACTCTGTATGTACTATACAAAGATCATAGTAAGTGCACTTTCTTGCATTGATTTATGTATGGCACAAAGGTTTTTGTACTGCTGAAGAATCACCAGAGCAGAGTGTTTAATTGCTACTGTAAAACTTGAACTGATTTATAGCAAAAATGGCATAATCAGTATATTTTAGTTCAAGCCTAATGACTAATGATTTAAAATCATGTAAGTATTATGTCACAGAAATACAAAGTAGGCATGTGAGAACTCATTCTTCAGTTCTATTAAAAAAAATAAACTGAATCATGTTCTAGGGTTTTTTTGGTGGGGGGAGGCAGGAATTGTGCTACCAACTGTTGCTGCTGCATAATTTAAATAATTTCAGGGTAATTTCAAAAAGCCTTTATCTGTCAGTGAGACTAAAGTTTGGATTTGATTTATAGAAATTTATCCATGGAATGAGTGTTTTGTTTTGTTTGCTTAGTTGTAGCACTGCAGACAGCATATCCTAGGCATGGTGTTGAGTGCTTCATGTAGTCATCAAGATTCAAACTCTGCTGAAAGTTTACTTCCCAAGTGAAGCTGTTACTTTAATATTCCACAGTGATAGCCTTGGTTCTGAGATATTCATGAAGAGCTTCTTCACCTGTACAAGCAAAATATTCCCCTGTTAGAATAGCAGCTAAATGAGAGAATGTTGTCAGGCTGTAACTATTATTAAGAAAAAAATTTAAAATGCTGTAGCCAATATTTGAGTCCATAAAAACAATGGGAACTAATTACTTTACCTTCCCACTGAGATTTACAGAACTGTTTTGACAAGAAGAGGTCAAACCCAACAGATGTGGAAAGAAAAAAGAGCTGGAAAGAAAAAAGAGCTGGAATTTAACAGGCAGCCCCCCGGCTGGGACTGGAGCAGCAGCAGTATTTAGATGGCCACTGAGAGCTCATAGATGAATTTATGAACTTTGCTTTGCCTGTGTTAAAGTTTATAGGTGTAGAGAAGCTGTGTAAAAATCAGTAATCTTTTTTTTTCCCTGTTACCATCACTCAGTTTCAGGAAATGGCTTTGGAAATTCCAAAGGCAAAAATGTGTTGTGTTAGTGAAATTTGGCTTTCCTTTTTTTCCTTGTCCTGAGGATTGATCTGTCCAGACTTGTAAAGTTTCTTTGACAAGGTAGACTTCAATTTTTTTAAAAAACTCGTTTTGTAAAGAAAATATTTTTAATGCATCTTTCTCTGTGGCTGTTGGCAAATTTTGGTGACATTTTAAGGCATAAAAAAGTTTCCCATGCTCTTTAAAGTTTACAGGAGAAACCTAAATTAGTGTCCTTTCTGAGGGGAAAAAAGATTTTGGCCAGTATCTTTGTTACTTGACAGCATTTTGTAGCCTGTAGGCAGCTCTGGACAAGTTGCAATTTGACTGCTCTGAGAGCAGTTGGAGGGGGAATATTCTGTGTGCTATAGCATTATTTAGTAAATGTACAGGAAGAGCTGAATGGGAGGTATTGAGGTGTGAATATTGAAGGAAGGGAGAGAAACTAGATTACTGTAATTGGAGGAATTGCAGGAAGTGCATCCACAGCTCATGTTTTACTGGATACCCTGTACACAGGCAAAATGTTTTGTTCATTGATTAGGACTCTCAGATGAGAAACAAGAGAGGGAGAGAACAACTTACCTAAATCTTTCCCAAAGCCAGACAGCTTAAATCCACCAAATGGTGCTGCCACATCAGTTTTGTTATATGTGTTAATAAAAACTGTTCCAGCTTCTAGCTTTTCACTGACATAGAGAGCTTTGCTTATGTCTTTTGTGAAAACTCCTGAAGCTAAGCCATATTCTGTGGCATTTGCCCGCCGCAATACTCCATCGACATCCCTGTGGGAGAAAGAAATTATCTAATTGCATCTAGGTAAAGTAAACAAGTGTTAGCCACCTTCCACCTTCAGTGGGACTGAAGCACCTTTTCTCATGGCCTGCCTTCTCCAGGGAGCCTTTTTAAAGCCAACTTGTTAAGGAAGGATCGGTGTGTCAATCTGACAGATCCATGGACATTCACAGCCTTGCTTCAAACTTGTGAAGCTTTTGGCCTTACGTTTCAATGGTTAATATCTACACTGAGAAATGCCACAGGAAATGTTGCTGTATGCATACCAACTTTGCTCAGCTACTGTACAACTTGGGGATTAAAGCAATACAAGAATACTTGTAAAACAGAGCTTGGCAGCAGATGATGAATCAGTTTGCTAAATTTTTGGCCAGCTTTACAAGTTAATGGAGAATAAATGCTGAAAGTCAGCATTTATTATTATGTCTTCTATCAAGACACAACTTTTCAGGCCATTTCCAGAGTACTTCTTTTCTATTTGCATGTCATCTCCATATAGCTTCAAAAATCCATAACAGTTTAAAACTTTAAAAAATTCAATACAGTTCCTTAGCGCTGTACATAACTTATGGATGTGAAGGGTTATCTATGTGGCTCGTTCTTAACTGCGTTATCAAAGTGCAGAAAATGAAACCTGGTGGAAATACTTATATGAAGTTTCTATGTAGGGTTTCAATCTCATCTGTGTGTAAAATAATTCTTATGCTCTGAAATGAAAGATATTAAAACTGGCAGTTTACAAAACATACAGAGGAATTTTCATTTGCAACAGTAACATGCCAGTGCTACACAATGCACAACAACACTTCATGGTCTTTTGTGACAGAAAAAATCAGCAATTCCACTGGGAAAAATACACATTTTGTAATTTAATTGAGCTGTTGCAATTACCACATCAACTTCAATAAAACATTTCCCTGAAAACTAAGTCTTGTTTAAGAACTGGCACTTAGGGTTGCATTCTATCCTGTCACACATTGCCAACAGCATTAGGTCTATATTGATATGGAGCAGGATACCCCCTACTAAAAAAATGTATTTTCTCAGAATTTAGCTGGAAGAGGATCTAGGTATTCAGATTGGTCTAACAAGATTTAACAAAATACTGAATATGCTATCACTTCTTCACTTAGGGGGGAAATAGGAAAATGAAGTTTCTAACAGTGACAAGAGGAGAACATACCCATTTTTAAATTTAGAAATCACCATCACAGGACCAAAGGACTCTTCCTGGGCAATATACATATGGTCTTCAACATCTGTGAATACAGTGGGTTCCATGAAGAAACCTAAATAGAGGATAGAACATTGTTTGAGCATGGTAAAAGTGCTTAATGGTATCCTATTGTCCAGGCCATCTCTTTGCCATACTTTGAGGTCATAAATAAGTTACAACTTGAAACAGAAAATAGATATGAATGAAGTAGGAATGGAAATGCATGTGTATGAGCACCAGAGAAACGTCAGTAAAAAGGGTAAAAGCCTGGCCTGTATTGATCAGTGACAACACATGCTGTTCCCTGCCAGGCCAGAGGGTCTGCATGTCACAGGCCAGGTGATTCCTCAGGAGAAGCCCCTGTACTCTGACAGCAGGAAGACAAGGTTACAGCCTGTTGCAGAGGCCACTGTAGCCATAAGGATCTGTATATTCCAAAAAGAGAAATACATGCCTGAGGCAAAGGATTGCCTCATAATGACTGCTCATTTCTGAAGGGTGTGAAGACTTGTCCAAAAGCTAGCTCATCATTGTCAATTAAGAACTGTCCTGGTGTTATACACAAGCAATCCCTATGTCTTGGTGAGTGATTGTATTCTTCTCTGAGAGTGTAAAATCAGTTTCAGAGATTTTATATAAATTCCCTTCCCTTCCCTAAGATTTCCCATTTAGTTTTGTTACACAGATTTCCTATAGTTATGAGTCTCTACTTTCATTTTATTTAGGAATGCAATCATTATGTTTTGAAACTCTGATGTAAATGTTTTTTCTTCATTATCAATGAAGGACAGATGTCCATGAGAAAACGTTGGTTTTGTGTCTGCCCATTGAGCTTGGTGTGCATGTTGTCAAGATAGCAAAAAAAGATTTTGATAATAATACCTCTGCTAGTAGTTTCCTCAGTCAGCTTTAGTGTTAGTGTGATCTAAAGGAATATGATTATACTTATGGCTCTTGACAGTTCAAGGGTGTTACAAGAAAAGCCTTAACAGGAATAAATAAGCAAAACATTCCCATACAGACTAGACTCTGATTCAATGTCATAACTTACACTTCAGTTGCACAGCTTCTCATAATGTGAGACTTTAAAGCCCTGTGGTATCATAAGCTCACCTGGTACTATTCCCATGATAATACAACTTCACATAATGCAGCTGAGGCAATTGTGATGGCTTTTGCATAAAGTGTAAACGTTCCAAATACCTCTGAAAAGTATTTTACCTGGTCTACATACTTGTCTTCCTCCATACACAAGAGTGGCTCCTTCTTTAACTCCAGTTTCACAATATTGCAGCAGCTTTTCCAAATGTGCCTTGTGATTTTGTGGACCATGATCTGTAGATCTGTCAAGTGGGTCACCAATTTTCATCTTTTTTATTTCTTCAACCTATGAGTTACCCAATTAAAATGAAGTTACATAACATAGCAAATACTTGTTACAGTGACCAGAGATTTGTGATGCTGCATTTTTTTGTGCTATGAAGATAAGCTCTAAGAAAGGACTGGATTCTTTGAAGATGTAATGTTCCTCCCTTTTTAAAATGAGGCTTTGTCTTTTGTTTCTAATCTCTAGTTAATTCTGAAAGTTTTTCATGCAGTGCTCACGTATATATTCTCTTCTGCTATCAAGACAGACATGTAAAATGTTAGCTTTTACCAGTGCTAAATGAGTTATGACAGTGGTTTCCTGTTCTTGAGCAAAATAAATGAATTCTCCAATGGTACAGTGTGGTGACTATTGGACTTTTAGCAGTGATCTTTGTATTATTCTATCTATACTTGCAATATGCTTTTTTTTAAACTTCACAGCAGCCTTCTTCAATCCCATTGACCTAAGTTCAGTAATTATTTTTAATCTTACTTTCCTAGTTAAATACGAACTATCACTAAAGGTACAGTATCTATTTAAATGTCACTTATTTGTGCATTACTGATGAAAATATCTCCCTTCAATGCTTCCTCTTAACCCTGTAAGAAGTTCCTGAGAAGCAGCATTGCCTATCATAAGCAATAACAAGAAATTAAGCAACTGAAAATAAGAAATATAAGTGTCTATAAAACTAGTGGATCTTTCTGTCACAGTAAAACATTACTTAAACTTTAGTCCTTGAATATCTTACCACTTTACTAACAAACTCATCATGGATTGATTCTTCCACAAACAACCTGCCAGCAGCAATGCAGTTTTCTCCTTTGTTGAAATATACTGCTCCCATACCCTGTTCAGGAAAAAAACATTAATATTTATATGCATCCTTTTGTTCAGTCTTCCTTTCATTCTGTTCCCTTGGGTTCCATTCAGTGTTTGTTACCCTCAGACTGATCTCATAACTGGGAAACACGCTTCTGTGGAGACACATAGCTCAGGATGAACCCCTGAGCAGTGCTCTGTCCATTCCATCAGCCTTCCACAGAAACATTGGCTGCAGCATCACACAGAAGAGGGCTGGCAGCATGACCACTAAATATAAAACTGTGCTAATCCACTGAGCAATACTGCTTGTGTCAAAAGTCACATGGAACTGGGTGAACATGACCTAACTCTAATCTGCAGAGAATCTCCTATTTCAAGAGTGTGGATTCAGATCCCATGTAGTTTGTTCCTTTTTATTTACCAAGGACTGATACCTGCCATTGATTTTCCAGGGGCTTAGGGAGGTGGGGGAAGTAAGAGCAGGACAAATAAAATCCCTAAAAAGTTGTTTTCTGGCAGCTGGAAAGGCCTAGGGTCCTGGCATTGGTAGGTATAACCAGAATCACACGTTAGTGTCAAGTGTGTGGTAAAAAAGCATTGACTCACAATCACTTAAAGCCAGCAATGCCAGGAATAGGCCAGGCTCTGCATTACCCATTCACTTGTACAGGTGAGAACAGTGGTGGGGCCAAGCAGTGCACTGACTGCAGAGTTCCAGCTTTTATTATTTTTCATGTATACTTCACTGTGTAGTCACTCAGACTCTTGTCCTGCCAAAAGACACTCCAAAAATGGTGAAAGTGTTTAAGTTTCTTCCTGGTAGCAGTACCTACTTATGCTGGTTTAGAGAATTCACAGAAATAGCTCTTTGGATAAGAACAGTGTGGAAGAACTTTGTTTACTTCTCAATGATTGAACTGCATCCAATGTCACTTTGATGAATCAGATTACTTGAGCAGGAAATAAGCTCCCTAAATCCACTCAATTTCTCATTTGCCCATCTTATTTATGAACTTTAAACATTATGGCTTGTTGGGAAGGTGAATTATTATGGCTGATGATGTATGAAGAACTATATGCCAACAGGGAGCTCAATTCTTTGTTTTGTTGTCTTTTCTAAAGTATATTTCTTGTAGTACTGATCCCTGCCTTTTTGGTGCAGCACGGACAGTTTAATTGTGCTGGCATAAAGAAACATCCTGTAGAAAAAGAATCTGAGTCTGTTTTCTATGAGATTGCACATTTTTTCATGCAAGGGCTCCCTGGTAGGTTTTCTGGCAAGTCAAGAAGAATATTGCAGTACTGTGAGGATGCATCACAAAAGCTTTGAATATATTTTACTTTGAAGCAACATTACCATTTTTACAGCTCTGTCAAGTTCACAGTCGCTGAATATGATCAGTGGTGATTTACCACCAAGTTCAAGAGAAACTTTCTTCAGATTAGCAGCTGCACTGTAAAAAAACAAAAATAATCATAGAAACCAAATTTTTAATATCTTATTTCATTATTTTCTTTGAATCATAACTAGTGAAAATGTATAAACCTCTATTTTCCAATATGACTTAGTAGAATTCTACACAGCAGTAAACAACCATATGCAGTTATGCTTTTTCATTACTGCTGCATGCACAATATAACTAATAAGATACTTCACAACTAGATTAAGCAGTGTTTATTTATTAATCTTTTGCTGAAAGTACCTCTTCATGATCTGTTTACCAGTTGGTGTTGAACCAGTGAATCCAACCTTGCGAACATCTGGATGTTCAGACAGGTGCTGTCCCACTAAGCCACCTATCAGGGTGAGGAAAACAGTGTAACAGGACAGTATACAGGTAATTTTTACTACTCCAGCAGCATTGTAATGCAAAAGGAGCTAACAACATGTCAATCAAGTACAAAAAGACATCCTTATTTATATTTACAGCTTTTTTCATATCACTATGAAATATTTCATATTAGTTAACTTGGATCACATCAGTGCCTTCAAATTCCCCCGTCTGTTTAGACTAAAGAATTTCCCAATATTCCACTGTATGTGGAATTATCTGATTTGTAACGAAGCCTGACCCATACAGTTGCTCTGTTGCTTTTCTCCCTTGGGGGAAAGAGGAAAATGGTGACATCAGGTAACACAGTATGGACTGTGACTTACCTATAGTGATCAATATGCATCTTATCAACTTGCTCTAAGTCTCACAGTCACATTTAAATCCACGTGATGATAAGATTAGGAGAAAAATTAAGTTTTACAATCAAGTGAAACGTGTCTCTGTAACATATTCTTTTCCAGACTGTTCACACTATTTGTGTGAATTTGCAAAGGGCATAGGCTGAGAGCTCTTACCAACAACTAGAGCCAGTTGACATATAAATTTTTCCTATTCTCTTCTGAAAATATGTGAAATCACTGTATGACATAGGTGCAAGTCTCTTATCTGTGGAGATACATGTGCTTATGTAATAGGTAAAGTCCTAGTTCACCAGTTTTAGCATGACCTTTTCTCCCCAGAAAAATGATTAGTTGAAGTTTTACCTGAACCAGGCAGAATATTTATAACGCCCTTAGGAAATCCAGCTTTAGCTGAGAGTTCTGCAAACTTCAAGGAAGTCAGAGGTGTGACCTAAGTAGAAACATTTGGATTAGGCCTCCTATTTTAATTAAATGCATGATGATAGCTTTTACATTCAATACATCTTAGTTTTGATGCAATATTCCCCTTATTACAGTATTGACAAATTAAAAGTGAGGGCTTCTTGTGGAAAATAATTCATTCTTGAAAATGAGAGTAGTGCCAGAGCAGAATTGGAGACAATCATTACCTTGTATCATCGTGGCAATTTGTATTATTATACAGGCACTTTAAAACATATGACACAGTCAACCCATGGGTACATATGATGGATCAAACTATGGGTGAAATTTGCTAGATTGCCTGAATTATTTTTCCTGAACAGGGGCACCTGGGCCATCTGTATATTCCTTTTTGCTTTTACCTGAGCTGGCTTGAGCACGAGCGTGTTGCCTGCAGCCAAGCATGCTGCGCTCTTCCATGCAAGCATCATCAGTGGGTAATTCCAGGGGATAATAATTGCACAGACACTTAAAACAGGGAAAAAACAGGGAAAGATTACATACTTGATGGCAGCTTTTCAATGGCTTTTCTGCATATCAAGGCTGTCACCATAAAGAAAAAAGTGATACTTACCCTAATGGTTCTTTCTTGGTGAATGTTAGATTATGGTTTGGCCTGGCCTGATTAATTGGAATTGTAGCACCCTAAAAGACAGAGGAGGAACAAATCTTCATACTGTTTAATAAGTTTTATTCAAGTACATTTGCCATGTAAGTTTGTTTTGGAAAGCTACAGAGTAGGCTGCAAAATCACAAGCATTTTTGCACCAGGGAAAGGGGTGGGGATTCTTCTACTGTCTGATTGCCTACTGTGGATATTGTAATCAGCTCCTGAATGAAATAAAAGCACAGATAACAATAGTATCAAAGAACATTAAGTGAGGGTCTGATGGACAAAAAAGAGCTGGATTAAGTTCTTGATTGTGGATCTTAAAAGATACTTGGGGAAATGCTCTTGAACCTGAGCCACATATTGTGCCATCAAGCCTTGGTCAGACTGTAGCATAGCACATGAGTCTCTGCACTTACCTGCATGATAAGCACAATGATATTCTGTTCCACGAATAATCAAGTGCTAACTAAGCATGCATATGTACTGTGACACCTTAGCTGATTTCTTAGATCTTTAGGGTCACATTCTAAATCCATATTCTCCAACTGGAGGTGGATTACCTTTTTGTATTGACAGGGAGACCCATTCTAGGTAAAATTCTAATTATGGTTTAGTTTTTGATTCCTCGATTACTTTTTCCTTTTACTGTTTTTTTGCACTGTTTCAGAAGAACAACAACAAAAAAGAAGTGTAGAGAAGTACTGCCATTGACTACTTCCTTCACACATTCACTTGCCTGAATTTTGTCACACCATCCAGCGAAGTATCTGAATGTTTGCACAGACATTCCAATATGAGTCTTCAAAGCTAAAGTGTAGACAGCTCCTGAGTCAAGAGACTCTATTGTTGCTAACTCTTCTTGATGTTCTTCCATCAGGTCTGCAAGTCTAATAAAAACGTTAAAAATCCACATCAAAGAGAAATGGCATCTAACAACTGACAACCTAAAATTCTATTGGATATGGCAAAGAAGCATAATTAAAATACCATTCCCACTGAATTTGGAGGTGGAGTACTGGAGCAACTGCTTCTTAACATCAGTAAGGGACTGAATAAGTGCCCATTAGTGTGCAAATGTCTTCACATTGGCTGTAGTGGACACTGAATGAAAACATGAACAGTGTAAACTTACCTGATTGTTCAATTATGGTTTTGTAAATAAAATCATAATTAGATTTTTTTTCTGTTGTACTATAAGGAGCCAGTTATAGAAAGTAAGACCAGTAAGTCAGAAAGTAAATGCACAATAAAAAGGAATGTTGAGTAATCAAAAGTACCAAGGAGGAGTAGTCAGGATTCTTGCTTAAGAAGGAGAAGGTTCAATTTTAATTGGATATCTTCTATTAATGATTTCTTAAGATGACATAGCAGAGCTACGAGCTTTAATGGTACAAACCTTCTCTTTGGTCCAGCACTCAAATTCTCTAGTTTGAACAGAGGCCAGAGAAAAAGACCCTTATTTGAATTAAGGCGATCCAGAGAGAGCCTTTATTTGTCTGGGGAATGGTTTGCAACACAAATACTCTGCTATAGCTATCCTAGAGAGCCAGTCACCTAAGTGAAGAGTTTAATCCAGGGACAACCTATGCTGTGTAGGGGAGCTGCATTTTCCATATACCCAACATAGTTACGTTTGCAAATCTTGCAAGCGTAAAACACTGAGACCTTAAAAGTTACTCTTCAGGGCAGAGTTAACTTGGGCTCTCAAGCACTCTACATTCCTAATAGAAATTAAACACAAGTTTGTGCATGCTTTGAATATGTGCACACTTGTGAAAAATGTAAGTGACCAGGTGTATTTAATGTTCAGTTCTGACTTGCCCATTTTCTGTTGTGATTACTACTCAACTCTTTTTAAAAGAGTCCTGCAGGCCTTTTTCCACAACCTGATCACACACTTTATAAGCCAAGTAGAATTTCTGGCTTTGCTTTCATTCTCTTTTGCTAAGATGCCTGCAACGTCTTGTAAAATGTGGCATTTTTTGATACTTTTTTATTTTTGATTATATCTACTTGGTTCACAAGGACATGGTAAAAGAGGGGAGGGGAATTTGCATCCAAAGCATTCAACAAAGTAAAAAGTCCTACAGCTCTATTAATGTGATAACAAATGATCTGCTGCATACACTAAGCAAAACATATTCACTTGCCTGAATATGTTTTCTGAAGTGCAGCATCATGTTTCCCTGTGCTCCTCTTCCTTAGCTGCTAGAGGTCAGAAGACATGGAATGCATTCCCTACTCCTTCCTGTCTTGCTAGGCTGAACCCTTATGGGAACAGGATCGTCTTCTAGCTGCCTATTCCAAACCTCTGAATCAGATGGATCTTTAATTTCCAAATCCTCACAGACGTTATGCAGAGAGCAGTGACCCATCCCTGCACCCAGTCAAACTGCCAGACTGTTGTTTTGCCTTGCTATCCAAATGCACAGCCTGCCACCATCTTGCAGCTGCCAACTGTGTCACTGATCCTTCCTCTCCTGTGTATTCTGATGCCCAGGGCAAGCCTCCTGGCACAGCACAATAAAGGCTTGGCATAGCAGTGTGTATGGGCACACTACTGGAGATTGTATTTTTTTGAAGGTGAAAAAAATTCCTTCTTTTCTCTACAGATAAACATGCAGTCTCCTCAGCACAGTTTACTTGGCCAGGAGGTCCAACAGTAATGTTGATGAATCTGCAAACTACACCCTGCAAAAGGAATTTGTTTGATACACAGGATCTACTCCTTCATGAGCTCCTTGGGGCAGACAGTAGCAATCTGTTATATCTTTACTCATGTCTACTCATTCATTTACATGTTCTAGAACTGAAAAAGCAAGGAAAGCTCTTCATATAGCTCCACAAAAGAGGTTTTCTTTATAGGGTAGCTATAAAGCTTCTAGTCATCTGAAGTCTGAAAGACAGTGTTCTCCCTGTGCTTGCTGTCAGGCACCAGAGGCATCATGCTGTGTATGAAGAATCTATAATAACTGGGCTTTTATTAGCTGCCTCCAGTATCACTCTCACAATATACAGACAGTATGACCATCTTTCCACCAAAACCCACCATTAAAATACCATTCATTCAGCTTATCTTCTGAACCAATAATAATACAGCCAAAATGAGAACCAGGCATCCTCTAGACACAGTGAAATAAACACAAAAGAGAGAGGTGTCTCAGATAAATGCTGGATTCAGCTTAGAGAATTTCTGCACAGGACAATTCTTCCACTACAGATCTTAACACTTTTTCTAGAGTGGGTCTTTAGCCAGATGAGAAGTATACTGGAATATGATCCTAGAAAAATCTAGCCTCAGTTAGAGTCTATTTCAAAATTAATGGCAATGTAGTTGTTCGTTTGCAACGATGGAGTAAAGATGCAGGCAAGCTTAGCAAGGTAAAATCTCTGCCTACCTAACCCAGGTAGGCTCTGTCTTTTAAAACTTAGCCTTATTTCTACAGAAGGGTGTGGACTTTACAAGGGAATTTTCAATCCTTGCAACAAAACCCATATAGATAAAATTATGGGTATTAGGGGTATCAAGTATTTAAAATATATTTTCCTCAAATTCATTTCCACTCATAAATAACTATGAAAGAATGGTGGCAGTGAGACAACACAAAATTCTTCTCTGCCACAAGGAATACTGGCCAGCTAAAACCTGAGGGTGGAGTAAATCAGGGGATGAAAAGATGGTCAATCTGGATCCTCTGACAGTGGGATTATGAATATCTATCATATTCAGAGAATGTACACAACAATTCTTCAGAGAAACCAACCAACAAGATTTGAGGAAATGAAACAAACACAAGCTGTCCTTTACATACCTGTACATGAGTTGCCCTCTTTCCCTTGCATTCATTCTTCCCCATTCACCATTTTCAAATGCCTCCTTTGCTGCTGCCACTGCCTTGTCAACATCAGCCAGTGAAGCAGAAGATACACTGGCTATTATCTGTCCAAAGGTAGCATTGTGTTAGCTCAAAATGAAACGTTGGGATTAAGATTGTAACTCCTTCCTCCTAAACTTCATGACTGGGTATAAGCAAATACTTAATACCCTCAGCCATGCAGCTGTCATGGGTAAGTCAGGCTGCAAAAAGTGCAGACACAAGTAAGGTGGCAGAATTTGGAGGACACTGCAGGGACTCAGATTCCTAGATTTTTCTTCTTCATCAAAACAAGATTCATTGTCCCATTAGATTTCACACTCTCTTTCCGTATGTAAAACTAATGTGATACTATAAAAGCTGAAAATCTTTATATGTGGTGTTACAATCTAATATCTAAACATCCTAAAACAACTCCCACATTTTCTGTTTCTAAGGAATGGAACTTCTGTTACCATAAACCACCATAAACACACAGTATTTTGTGATGACTGTGTTCCATAAATACACACATTGTAAATTCTAATACAGAATTGTTGCGACTTTTATTCCATTCTATAATGAGTTTCAGGAAAAGTATCAGAGTCTGAATTCTGATGACAGAGAAATTTGTGTCATTGATTTTAGCAGAATTTATTTACTCTAGAGTTAAATGACAATTACATAGACATCAGAATCTCTTCTCTTATTTATATTTCATAGTTGTGAGTTGCTCATCCAAGATTCGGTAGTTCAGGACTGAAGTGCAACTGAATCTATTTTCCTATTGAAAAGTTATTTTTCTTACTGGGAATTTAACGGGACATTTTAATGTCACACTGACATCAGATTTGTAAAAAAAGTTAAAAAAAAATGAAGTTGATTACTGGCAGGATATATATATTCAATATCCTAAAAGAAACACTTCCTTAGCAACTAAACTTCAGCAAAGTTTAAACGAGAATGAAAGCAAGGTAAAACATATAGCTAGGTATGGAAATTGATGCAATAATTGAAGTGGAAGTAGGTAATTTTTGCTTTGCAGCTTGTCTGAAATGGAAAAAGTGTAGAATACACAAGCTGTGAAATAAATTGAAACAAAATTATTTCTAGAGTTTGTTTAATATGTACTGTATGAGCAATAGTCAGGTAATGGTTTAGATTTTTTAATAGGCAAAAAAGTTGAAATAAACCGGTAATGTTCATATTTAGAAATTACTTACTGATCCATCTGCTGGATTTATAGTGTCATATGTTTTTCCATCATCAGCATTTATAAACTGTCCATTTATGAAACACTGGTATGGCATATTCACAGTCATGTTGTTAATATTTTTTGAAACCTGAGTGAAATAAACAACAAATTAATTTTATTTTTTCATAACTAATATTCTAATGTAGCTTAACAAGCTTTTGATATCTGCAGCCAATATCGAGATGCATTTGAGCATTTATATGTGGCTGTTAGAAGTAAAATGTAATGGAAACCATATTCTCCCTCAATGCTAATGACCATACTCTGAGCCAGTTAAGCAGATTTCTGCATTTTTTTACCACTGGATCTCTATGTTCAAATCAATACTAAACCCTGGCTAAGACCAGTCTTGGTGTAGTTGAATCAAATGCATAATTCTCAGATTCGAGAAACCCTGATTTGCTTAATGACTTAAAAAAACATGGAATCCTCCTTTCACGTAGATTTTTCAAACAGATTCTTAGGAGAAAAATCTGGCACTGTACCCCTGAAAAGCAGAGGGTCAAGAACCATTCTGACTGAAACATACTGGCAGGACAGTGCAGGGGAGGTAGGAATATGTGCCCGGGTGTGAGCTACTCTACTGTGTGTTCTTGATCTCCTGGATTCTGGAATGCTGTAAGTGACATTACATATTCACTTCCATTCCAAAATGCAAACATATAAAAGTTTATATAACCAAATATTTGTTTGCTTCCCTACAGCATCAAGCAGTCTAATAAAATTCATTGTCTACCCTTCCCTAAGGCCCAAGAAAGACTAAGCAATAAATGGAAAATAAAAGGTCTTACATAATCAACTACTAACTCTTCCTCTTTGTCTTCTCCTCTGAATTTTCTGACAGCCATCTGAATAAAATCTGCAAATTTAGTGGCCATATACACATCTTCATTCTGTAGTTGAAGTCCACTATATTTCTGTTTGATCTCTTCTAGCATTCTAAAGATTTTGAAGAAAGAATAAATTTGCAAATTACAAATCAAACAATTTTTCAGATAATCAAATCATTAGAAGGTTGAAAGGGATCAAAACTGGGCAGCAGTTTTTATACATGTGAATATGTGTGTATGTTTCTCTGACAATAAAGGCAAAGAAGTTGTTGCATTTTAATGAAACCTGTTAGTTTAACTGGGGGTGCTATGGAAAAGAAAATGTCAGTTCTGGAATGCTCTTAGGTAAACTTTTGGAAATAAATGACAGATAGAAGATATTGATATACTATTGGAAAACAGTATTTGAGACTACTCTACCAATATATGGAGGACATTGAGATTGGTAAGTAATAAGCATGGTAACCAGTTTGTTTAAAAAAACCTGAAATGCTGCTTTTATATTATGGCCTGGAATATCTGAGCTGCTAACAGAAGGGAAATGAGGTGACCCAAACCATGAAGAACTCAATGCACTTGTAAGCAGGGGCTCAAGTCTCTCTACGAAAGGCTCCTCTTTCCCTCTGGGGAGATCTTTCTTTGGATCTCCTATCAGTCCCCTGGTCCTGAGATACCTGTCTCTGCATGCAGATAAGTTTGAGCATCACCATGCCCCACCATGTGGCTGATGTGAAGTCAACAGGAATTTTCCTTCAGTAGAAAGAGTAGGATTACATCAATATCTCCTAATTTTGGGAGAGGAACTGTACCATGTTTTCAAAAGTAGGAAAGGGAATAGTTAAGAGTATTGGAAAACATAGTGGGATTATTTTTTTAAACACTACTTTATTAACCCTGATTTAAAAGCACAGTGACAACTTCATTTTCATCAACTTTGGCTTCAACATTTTGTTATTTTGAATATTTTTTACCTGACAACATGCATAGAGGATGCTCCAGATTTGAAGAAGTCTGTCGAATTCTCAATTGCAGCAACATTGGTTAAAATTCCCTTCCAAATAGCCTAATAATACATAAAAATAACAGAGGCAATAATCAATAATCCTCTAATTGCAAGAAGTATTTATCAAACTGTATTTTCCATGGTATCTGTGCCTACAACATGTATTATTTCAAAGATTTCTAAAACACAGAATTATTTTACAAGGGTCTAGAACAGTCTAGAGACCTGGTGTTAGATAATAAATTTTGCAGCATAATTAGCTGATCAAAATTCATTATTTTGTCCATGATAATTTTACCTTATCAGGCAAGAAACCTGAATGGTACAATGCTACAATTTTCAGGCCCATTTTTAAAAGACTTTTATTCTCCAAATAACAACTTCCCATTGCATTATGGAATACGTTGTCCATAGAGGCAAGGACAGCCTGGAGCACTTTGTGACTGGATTGATGGCATTTCAGGCCCCTGGGCAGAGCTTATAAGTGGTTTAAGCTGCATGTGTGAGACAGCAAAATGAATAGTTAAATAACTGTCAATGTAGTTTTTCAATTAATTATAATTGGGTTTCAGAGTTAGCAGGTAGTGTCATGAACTGATGAGTTTATTTGCTATTTTTTCAGTCAGTCAATAGCTCCAGGCAGCATTTAGGTTGCTGGCAAGCAGGTTCAGGGTAATCTTGAAGCAGCAGTTTAAAATACTAGTGCATCAAGCTGCCTGACCTGTGCCAAAAGTTAAGAAACCTGCAGCAGAGTTAGCAAAAGGGAGGACATCTATGACTCATCTGCTCTGGCACAAAACTTTAGTGACAAATGTGGCTTTCAGCTAAGCTCCTGACATTTACTACAGAGGGATGGATTTCAAGAGAGAGCAGAAAAGTGCCTCTCTGGCTATGAGAGCTTTTGGCTCCAGCTGTCCCAACCCTCTGCCAGATAGCCTCTTGAGTGTGGCTGTGGTAAAAGAGACAGTGCACACAGGTACAGTGAGAAAACTTGTGCTTTTTGCTTTCAGATTGCTGTTCTAAGACCCCCTGGAGCTTGTCAAACAGGACCACTCTGAGCACATCCTAGTGATTAACACCACAGTGAAGAAAGGATTCCAGAACTATCCAAGTCTATCAGTGTTGAAAAACTCACTGCTGTGAGGCAAAGGTCCATTTGTTTTTCCTCACTCCCACCTTCATCATTCATAGATATTTACCACAACTGATGCCCCAATCACTGTCTTTGTATCACTTGTATCTGAAAGGAAACCTTGTAAAGTGACATACAAGTACTCTAGTGAAATCCCAGTTTCACTTGAATTAATGTCAATAGCTAAACATATAACTCCCATATGAGTACATTTTATTCAAAAACAATTTGCATGACTAAATAAAAGATATGCCTTGCCAATAATAAGTATGCAAAACTTTTGTCTGAAGTAATACCCTACAAAAGCAGTTTATTGAATTACCCTAATATCTTCTGCCATCTTTTTCTCCTCCTCTGTAAGTTCCAGGGCAGTTGTTTCATCAGCAGAGAAGTATTTAGATGCAGGGATCATTTTTCCATCTTCAAACTGCAGATTTCTCACTAGTACCTGAGAAATGAGAGGATATGGTTTTAAATTGCCTGGGTAAATCCTTATGTGAAGAGTTTTTAGGCATTAATATGGTTATTGGAACGGTAAAATAAATAGCTTGAAGGAAAGTTGATACGATGCAGGCAATTTAGCACAAGCCACTCCTACTTGATTTTCAGATTCTCTCCTGGTATTAGTACATTTTACTCCATATTGGAAATGAATGTGGATTGAGTGTGAAGCAAAACATGAATGTTTTCTTTATAGGTAAGGGATTGATAAAGTCCAAGCGATAAACTCCGAACTCCAGTCTGTCATTAGCAGCTGGATTTGTGTAGCCTGACAAGTCCACACTACTTGCACTTCCTGCTAAAGTTATGCCATCCATGTTTAAGTTTGCCAGACTGAGCACTTACCATCTTCCCATCATTTCCAAAAACGACTAGACCATTCTTGGTTACAAGTCCAGGTCTTGAAGCACCTTTTATTGCCAGCTCTTGTCCAGCAGGCACTGAAGCATCAAATAATGATGACCCATAAAATGTAACCATCTAAAAATAAATGTAATGTATGTAATTAAAAAGGCACAGATTCTAAACATGCTCTAAAATTTTAACAATTATATAACACTGTTTTGAACCTTTAATATAATACAAATAACAGTACCTACACATGGAAAACATGTTACAACAATATTTCTAGATCTTTACAAACCAGAACACGTAACATTTCTCAAGCTGCCCAAACCTGCAAAGCTGCTTAGCTGTAACAAAGTGCATGCTGGAACCAGAGCAGGAAGGGAAGCAGCTTTTATCAGTGCATGCCCAGACTGAGAGACTAGCAGAAACCTGACTGTGATTGGTGGAGTCCAGCTCTGCTCCCAGGCTGGCAGTGCTGAACACTGCCTCTCTCTTGGGCTTTTTCTGGCCTCTTAAATCAGCAACAGTTCCTGGACATTAAAGCAGAACCAGGATTTTGGAGCAGCCTACCAGCAGATGACTAATAGTTAAGTAACAAAATCTGGACATCACAGCCAGGAAAGATAATGTGATTTTTTTAAAATACTTTATGTAAGTACAATGTGGATCAAATATACAGTATCCTTAATACACTGAAAGTAGTTGGTTTTGGATAAAATCAGATAGATTTATTTCTGCAAATGACCTAGGCCCAAATGTCCTTAAAATAAAATCGCCTGTTATTTCAGTAGTTCACAGTGTTTCACTGTATTGTCAATACTGTGATGTTACTCCCTGTACAGCATAGGTTGCATTATACTGTAATGCATGTCTGCTTCCCAGGGTGACTGGCACAGTCTGGTTTTACTCTTCTTACCTTTGTATCATGCCTCATTTTTTTTTCAGATATTGTTCTTATCTTTCTTCAAATTAAATGAATCTATGATTACAAAACTCTTAACTGTGTTCTGTACATTTTATTTAGAACATTCTGTTCTAGGTATATACAAAACATATGGTCATCAAATTCAAGCTACTTCAATGTAACTCTCATTTGTATTCAGTTGTATGCAGACACTTTTAATTTTGTAATATAAAAGGGTCAAAAAGAGGTTGCAGAAAAGAATAATATTCTTCTGGTTTTCAGAGCATACCTGGCCATCTATTGTTGTCCACGCTCCAGGCACTTTATCATGTCCTCGAATCCAGTTGTGCAAAGCTGCTGCAGGTTGGTCCCAGGAGATCTAGGAAATCAAGACATGCCAGCTAGTTCTTCTCTGTTTAGGTATAACTCAAATTAACTAAATTTTCCCTCCTTCTCTTTCAACCATTCACGTATTTAAGAACGCAGAAAGGGTCTGGTCTAATAAAGGAAGATCAGTGATCTCCAGATGGCTAATCATTAAAGGCCTACCAAATGGGATGCTCTTAGCACTTCTGTGCTCCCTGTGGTCTATATCTTCTCATAGATTCTCCTTCTCACACTAATATAATGAAAACATAACTCTTACTACTAAGTATTCATTCTTAAATAATTAATACTATGATTAACAAATTTAATAAGCACACTATGAATATAAATAAGAGTATGTCTGGGGTATCACCTTCTACTCAAAACGATGTATTTATTTCTTGGATCCTAAGTTCTTCATCAATCTACAAACTTCTATTAAAATACTTTCTATTCATGTATTACCCCTTTATAAATTGTTCCATAAATAGAATTGCTGCTACAACCTGCAATTCCTTTAAAACTTTGAGGAAAAAGGAAATAATGTTTTAAGAATGCTATGTACATTTAATATGAAACACTAGTGAAAATGTATTGATTTATCTTTGCAGAATTGTGACCAAATCTGCCAAAATGAATTAAAATATCAGAATAGCTATTAGATAACAAAACTCAAGTATTCAGCATCCTTCTTAGACTAAACACAAAGAATATGTAGAATCAAGTTTTAAGACAATGCAAATAGTTTTACACCAAGGAGATTAGGCCAGTTCTCTCCAAGAAAGGTCCTTAAATATTATGTTATACTATTTTATGTTATGTTATATTTTATGGATTAATAAAAATATCCTTATGCAAAGCTATTTGTAAGGTAAGTCAGAAATTGAAATGTGGTTAAAAGCATCATCTACAATAATTCAGGTCAAAATTGTTGGAATAATTTTTACTTTTTTTTTTTAAAAAAACCAAACTTTTGCACTGGTCTAGAAAAGGAAAAGAAGGTATTACAGGCAGCATTCACTACCATTTTGTGCTTGCCTTCCCAACCACATAGAAGATCAGCTAATGCAGGGGGGTGCTTAGATAAAATAATTCTCATATGGGAATTTAAATATTTTTTTTAACTGTTGTTCGTTTATATGACCTCTGTTGGTTTTTTTTCTTGGTGTTAGCAGGAAAAGTGCCAACATTTGCTTTTCCTAACACCAAATCTATTTCTGGTAGAGACTTTCATATGGACTGTTGGTAACAACAAGAGGTATCTTGATTCAATGTCTTATTTACAAGTATGATAACTCATTAAGAATCCACTGTGCTTCTAGACACCTGTATGATCCCAAATAGGACATCAAGTTTCTAAATACATGTAACTGCTGAAAGGGAATAGCAACTTAGCCTAGGGCTCCATTACATGCATTTTTGGAGTCATCCCAGGAAAAAGAGGTGGGGAAACAACTGAGTTAAAATTCATGTTAACTTCATATTGCTACTTTTGTAATCTGAGTTTATAACTTTTCTAATGCTGTGCACAAAACCCAATGTTATTTAACAGTACCTCTGCATTTTCCTTTTTCTGGATCCCTTCATATGTGGCCCCTTCTTTAGGCTGAGGTATACGAGGGGCTTTACCATCAGCAATTAGATGTACAGCTTCCACCTAAGTGAGAAAGTAATAGATTTAATGTTAGCTTGGTTCATCTTTTTTTCCTCAGTCATACTTGTGAATGACAGGAGAAGACTTTCTGCCACAAGGTGAATTGGTTTGGGGTTTTTTTAAACCTAGGATTTCCAAAATCTAAGGGACCAATGCTGCCCTGATTAACATACATACACAGTTAAACTTCTTTGACAAAAGAAATAGCCTCCAAAATTTGATGGTAGTATCTAGTCACAAAACTTATAGCAGATGCCTAAAATTCTGGAGGACAAAAATGTGCCTCAGTATGATTGCCTTCAAATTCTTCCTTTTTCGTTATGCAAAAAGTTATTTATCTGCATTTAAATGGAAAGAGAAAAAAAATCTCTAATGAACAATGCTGAGTATTTTTTATTCATTTTCTTTTATTCACTTTAAAAAAATACAAAAAAAGGACACGCATACAAAATCCAAAGCCAATCCACCAGGGCTCTGAGTTTAAAACATAACTCCTTTCCTTCTCTTTTTTTAAAAAACATCACTCCTAACTTTTTGTTCTCTCTGAGACTCTAAAAGATTTCATCTTGTAAAAACATTTAAGAAATCTATGGAAAGAGCCACATTCCAAACAAATTCAACTTGTCGCCATCTGTGGAAACAGAATATGTTCTGCCTCCTGTCAGCAACAAATATTCCGAGGTCACATCCTCAGCTGTTGCACAGCTGCACGGCTCCCATGAAGTCTAGGATTTGGCTGAGCACCACAACCTCTTTCCAAATGTATCCATCTTGTCTACATTTCCTTTACTTTCAAACTCTTTTCTTCTTAAAAAGCTGGTATTTAGTACAGCTAAACCTACCATAGCCTTTATGCCTTCTGGGAAGAGAAACCGGTTGTATAGGTCATCCACAGTATCATTTTGGCCAACATCACATTCTCGCTGCAGAAGTATTGGTCCAGTGTCCAAACCATCATCAGCCCAAAAAATAGTAAATCCTGCTTTTTTATCTCCTTGAATTAAAGTCCTAGACATAAAAAAAAAAGACTTACAGTAAATACAGACAGTACGAAAGTAGTCAGGGATATCCTCATGTGTTACACATTCGTTTTCTCAGGAAGACAGAAAAGAAAATCCTTAACTGTCTTTAATATATTTCCATTGCTCACTTCACAGTGGTACCATCATTTTGGTACTGTTGATGTGTGGTTTCCACAAAATGACATAAGAAATGCTGCAACTGAACTCTGTCTGTCTTTCACACAGACCACTGTGATAATTATTTCAAAAGTATTATTAGTGGTAAGACACAGAGAGCAAAAGGTGTACAATAGTTATGACAGAATTTGAAAGATGGAAGCACCTAACAGTATATTATCTTAATAATTCATGGCATTAGCCAAGCCTCACAGCTCATCTGTAGGTCAGCAAGGCAAGTACAGTTGTCACCCAGCTGAAAAAGAGCTAAGCTCAGACTATAAAATTACGAATATGCAACAGTTTAAAAGAAGTTATTAAGGGAATTAAGAATATCCAGACAAATTCTCAGCTGCTGGGCATGAACATAGCAACACTTACAACAGACCTATGCTGATTTACCTCAGCTCAGGATCTTCCTCTGCATCTGAAGGGAACTTCAGCTACTTAAAATATTCCAGTTCTCCTTCAGCATGTGCTTCAGAATAATGAAAAATCAGACCAAAGTGTGTTTAAGGGAGCAGCCAGAATATTTCCTGCATGATTTTAACCATTTGCCTGCATGTAAATACCAATGCTGTTTTAAGTAATGCATGTCTCATGTAAGTATTCCCTTGGCAGTCCATATTGTAACAGGATTGTCCAACATCTGGCTTATACACAGGAAAATTCATTATTAATTGTAAGCACTGAAAACTACATGATTGAAAGGAATAAAACACACATACGTGCAGAACAAGGGACAAACTCCAAAGACAACTGGGGAAGTTGGCAGGTATAACAGAAGTGGGAGCTTAAATAAGTTTGGCTAGCCAATATCAGATCTTTCACATATTTAGGCAGCACTTCTTGTGTTTTCTATTATGTAAAAATTCCAAAAGATCACTGGTGAGAAGTGGATACCGTCAGCATGGTACTGGAGAAGAAGAAGGTTTCATGGGCAAATGTCCCTGATGCTGAATAGGTGACAGGATGAGAACTACTGTGTGTCCCCTCCCCTGTCCACCAGCTCCCTCCACACAGGGCTGCTGATAACAGAGCGGCAGCAGCTGGAAAAAGATGTAAAGGAAGAGAGTGAGGAACCCTCAGAGCCTCAGGGACCGTGTTTGTCCTGGTGCCCCTATAGCCATGCCTAATTTCCAAAGGTTTTCTTGGTCATACTGTGGAGACAAAGGGCCTGATCAGCACCAGGGCTGTAAACATAACACATGAAAGAAGTAGTGGTGAGAGCAAGGGTTGAGAAGGTAAAACACAAGAATAGTCAGCCAAGGTCAAATCCTACTTTAGCTTAAAGGCCTCAGGACAATGGCCTTTACCTGGGAAGGGCAGGAGCAGATGCTTATAGAAGGAATATACAAAACAGAGCAAGACATGGTGATACAACACTGCAGTACATTCCTGTTTCTGGAAATCTTCCCTTCGGGAACTTCCTGAAAAAGAGTTTGTATCTACATCTTCCTGTGTAACAGATCTTTAAGAACTTTTCCTCCATGAAAGCACCCTTCTGGAGCTCTCCAGGTGTGAAGTAACACAATTTAATGCATGGAGTAAAAGTACCTCCTTTATTCCTGGTCAAATCCTACAAGCTGATCTCTTTGCTGGTTGCTCCCTAACTTTTGATTAAGAATGAGTGATAATTCCTTGTTCACTTTTCCATGTCTTTCATAGCATAATGCACAGATAGCATATTTCCTTCCCAATGACCTCTTTTCCAGTCTGAAGACTCCGTGCTTTGTCTCCTATCATGTGAGAGCTGTTCTATACCTTGACCATCTTTTTTAGCCTTTTTTGAAACATTATCTAGTTCATGTTCCAACTGAGATGCAGACAGTATTTAATATCCTTCAACGGTCTCTTTTTTGAGTCACAACAATTAACTTTAATACTGCTTACATATAGGCAGGGGGTTTTGCCCCTTGTGTACATTTCTCTATGGTTTTTAACTTTGAATTTGACTTCTCATTTTCTTTACCTCACTTTCACGCTGTCGTATTTATCCATTTGCATAGATAGTGTATTCTTTATTGCAGCTTGAAACCAGAGGGACTGCTCTAAAGTTTCCTGGCTTTCTCTTCCAGCTCTTTTAAAACTGGTATTGCTCTTGCTGTTTTTTTTCAGTCACCTGTACCAATATGATCTTAAGAAACAGAAATGCTGCAGGTTGTCTAAAATCTGCAGCTTCAAATTTGCTTGAAAGTCCCCTGGTCCTGAATGAATAAGAGGTGATTGAATAAGAGATTCTTATTTGTTCATCAGTTTACCTAAAATCTCTTCTACTCACAGTTTAGCTCAAGAGAATTGTTTTCACTTATTCTACACAAAGAAGGGCTGTAGGATAGAAATATTAACCTCCTTCATCCTGAATACCAATACAGATCTCCTACTATGGTATTCTCTTTCATAATCACCTTTGTTAAATCGAGCACATCTATAACCCTACATACCTCTCATCTTTGAATGTATTTGGGAGAATTGTTATTATTCAATTTTATGCCTTAAAAAGTTGATTCTTTATTTTTTTTTCTGGACTGTCTGACTCTCATTTTTCACCTGATTTGCCAGAATTTATGTTCTTTTGTTATTCTACTCACTTGGACACAACTGACACTTTTTGAAGGATTTCCTTACATCTGTAATAATCTCCTTTACACTTCTGTTTAAGTACTTCAGCTTACCGTTTTTTCCCAGTAAGGATAAAAATTAACAAAACAAAATAAAATATGCTTTTGTTTTGAAACTACAACACCCTGTCTTCAGATAATCATCATGCTGCCTCTAAGATTCTTTTAAAATTGTTTCTTTATATTTAGACAATTTCTTATTGAATTTAAACACTGTGGTAATGGCATTTTTGTTGTCACAAGAATGCTAGATATGAGTCTACTGTGGTCATTATTGCAGTGTACTTCTTTCAGGGTAATAATTTGAACCTGGCCTTGTGCGTTGCTCAGAAGAACAGTGAGATAAGGTTTTATTCTTGTGGATTCTCTTCTATTCTCCCATTCTGCAAAATCTTAGGCTGTGCATCAAACCCTATTGTAATAGTTATGTAGTGTTTGTGGGGGATGAGCCACAAGGGCAGCATCGTGTTTAGAGAAACTCCAGATTGTCAATTTGCATTTGTGAGTAAAATATGAATGCACAGATCACATCACTGATCTTTTCAGAATAACAGCTGCACTCGCATGGGAAATAATAATGAATCTTAGGTACGAAGTGCAGTTCATGAACCAAATAGTCAGCTGCTTCAGAGAAGTTCCATAAGAGCAGTTGCAAGTCAACAGAACTGTGCCAGCATTTACGTGAGTAATGGGTGCAGACCAACATCCTAAAACGACAAACACGCAGTTTTGAGCACAAAACTCACCAGTTGATTGCAGAAGCTCCTCGGTGGCGTGGTAGGATGGATGGATGGTAAATAATAGACCCATGTTTTGGGCAGTCAATAACATCCATGGGGATGAACTGTGTACAGAACGGAAGGACATTTAGCTCTGCTCCAACTGATTTGTAGGCTGCAACTACTTCCTCGATAGGCTTGCCTTTAGCTCTCCATCTGGGGAACTTAAAAACAGGAGTGCCATCCTTCTCCGCTGCCAGTGCTGAGGGGCAAGAACAATTTTTTTTTAATTCATATTTTGTGTTAAAAATTCACACTGAAATCAGAGATACATAGCATGACAACTGAAGAAAATCATCAAGTGTGTGACTCCAGAGTGGCCTTTGTACTGTTCTGTATGCTGTTTAAAAATCTTTGTGCTTGGATACATTTTATTCATCCTGTCTTTGATTCTCATCCCTATAGCTTACGTCATTTTCAACTTCAAGTTCACTCTTATGACTCAGCTAATAAGTACCAATGAAAGCAGAAAAGAATAATGAATGTTATTGTTGACTACTTAAGTGTGGTACTTCATTTCTTGTCCAGTCATTACATTTGCCTGCAACTGGTTGGATTTAGCAGAACTTAATTTTCCACCTTCAGCAATTTTTATGTGAATATGACTATGTAAAACTCAGATTCACACGTCAGCAGCATTTTGCCATGTGATGCAAATAATTACAGATGCTAGTGGGCTTCTGTAATTTCTTCAAAATTCTGTTTACTGATGGTTTCTGGATACGCTCTCATTTATCTGTGAGACACATAAGCTACACCCAAAACTAGACTCAAAGGTGAGGAAAAACAACTGCACTAATTGCAGAGAGAATCTTCAGATGTTTGATAAATTCCATTGCACAGCCACTTAACAGTTTACCACTGAATAGGATAGTAAAGTCAAATTTTACATCTGTTGAGTTTTATATTAATAGGAAGAAAAGGGGAAAAGAGAAGAGTCATGGAAAATTCACCTAATCTAATCAAATTTCTAAAAACATATTAATGCTTTACTTTATCTTTTTCACTTCTGAAATTGGATCTTGAGATTGACCTTAAACATCTTTAGCGTGTTTACTTAGGTCATAAGTAAACACTTACTTAAATACCATTCCATGGAAGTTAGTGTGTACTGCAGTGGTTTTTAGAAAAAAGAACTGTAGTTGTCTGAGGATACAGAAAATTCAGAAAATTCTACTTAAGCTCTCTGCATCATCTGGACATAAAAAGTGACGACGTATGTAGTAATTTCCTTTTTTTTTCAATCCGGAGAGCAATAAACTAATCCAATGGTTTAGTTAAAATAAATATACAATTGAAATATTGGAAGATTTACTTAGTTGCATTTGTTAGTGTAATAACTGCACAAGAATAATTTATATATTGTAACCAAGTTATGGTACATTATAACTAATATAATATACATAGTATTTATATATAGTGTAATCCAACCAGAGCTGGATAGTCAAATTTTCTTTTTCTAAACTAACAGTTGCCTCTTCTAATTCTTACAGAATGTGATTAAATCTTTTAATGAAGTAGAGTTGAGAATTATATGCCAGTCTGCGAGCGCCATAGCCCAGGTAAGCAAAATTTGTGTTTGATTCTTCCCTTGTAAGGGTTCTCTAAAAACGTGTCATGACCAGACCAAAACCAGAAAAAAAAAAACAAAAAACAACAAAAGAGACTTGAGACAGCTCATGGAATGTAGTTTTAACTTTGGATTATCCATAAATGCACATTCCATTCTGGCACTTCTATTTGCTGATCATTTTAACTATCTTCGTGCCACTGAAAAAAAGAAGGCAAAGAAAAGTTAAAATTCAGTTGTTCCAAATAAGCTTCTTTGTCATGCTGAGTTCTCTTCTATGACTATAATGAGTACAATTCTGAAACAACTCTTTCTTTAGGAAGTCTAGAAAATCCTTATGCACCTTGACAACGGAAAAAGGGAGAGCAAAGCCTCCTGTAACCTTTTAAATGTGTTTTCCATGGTCCAGCTTGAAGAAAAATAGGCTCTGCAGGTACACTGCCACGTGCAAACTTGGCAGAAAGGGCAGAAAGCCAGGGACAAACAGTCTTGGCTCCATGCCTCGAGTGTCCTAGGCAGCACAATGAAGCAAGTGACAGACATTTGTGCTTGAGTACAGGCTCAGCAGCTCTTTGCTTTAAGATTCAGATCTCATTTAGAACAATTACCTCTAGGATGTACATTCAAATAAGGTATTCAGATTAATTTTATTTTTCCAATAACTTAACGTATTTGTTAGAATACATTAACCCTGCATGGTTAGAAACAACTTTTAAATACTGACAAACTGACAAGTTTAAAACCGTTTCTGGGACTTGTGCTTGTTAAAGCACAGTTCTTGTGCTGAATTCAGTACAATAAAGGCAATATATGCAAGTCATTTCCATATAGATGTTGCCTTCTCACGAAAAGGCAAGTTTGTTAAGGATGCCTGCAATTTTAACATTTGGATTAAAGTTACACTTACCCAAAGGATCAGCTTGTCCATTCTTGTCAGGCACTGTGAATACGCCCACAACTTTATGCCCCTCTTTTCTCAGCTTGCTATAAACTTCTTGTCCAAAAATACTTTGACCTATAAGGGCTAGCTTTAGCTTATGTTGATAAGCCTGGTAAAAAGAATTAAAATGAAACATGTTTTAGGATACAAAGAAAATATGACGTTGCTTACATTTCTCTCCTGCTCTTTATCAATGTTCATTTTTATTTAAAATGGAATGGTCTTTCTACTCTAATCACCTTTGAAGGAATAGTAATAATTTTTTCGAGATTAATGACAGGCAACATACAATTCAGAGACCATACTTCACAAGAAAGTGTCATCTGATACTGTCACTTTTGTTTATATGGCTTTTCTAGAATCTTCATTAGACAGATCCACTGCTTCTTATAAGAAGCTCCATTATCTTATTCATAGTCAGAATAAGATAAGAAATGAAAATATATTTTTTGAAATGGGTACATAAAACACTTTTCCTAGGCACTATGTATGTGCCTGTAACATGCTCTCTAAATGGCTATAATTACAGTGGTGTATTATTTGTGGTTAACATGTATAGGCTAAAGAAGACAAGCCTGCATGGTTCCTGCCAAGTTAAAGGTAATAATCATCCATTTGATCCTCCTACAAGGAAATACTGCTAAATGTGAGCTCTCTTGCTGGACTTCCACTGCCTGCTGTGTTTGGATCCCAGTACACCGGACATGTGATTTTAAACTTCTTCAAGCTGAGTAGGTCCAAGTAACCACCTCCACTTCTTCTTTTTTTTTTTTTAATTTAAGATAGTTAGAACCACAACACCATGATGGTGTCACAATATCAGGTACTGCTACGTCTTTCAAGTGATTGCATCCCGAGAAAACTACTAATTAACCTTCGGAGTCCCTTTAGATTTAGGTGGCAGTTCTGCTCCTATCCCACCCTACCTCCAGTCCCTCACCTCTAATACCTCCTTTATCCCAGAACTGGTATTTCTGTATTTCTTTATCCCAAGAACTGGGATACTGAAGTAGGGAGGCATTGACCTGACAAAACGTGGCTTATTCTTAACTGGATCTACTCAAAGATTTAGTTCATTGCACTGCCACGAGTCCTAACATAGATCCAGTGGGGGAGCAGAAATGTAATGGAACATGCAAGCATGGCAGAAGGGTGGAACTGTCTCTTTGCATTTATAGTCAGCTTTTGGAAAATGAAAACTGGAAACCACCTTTGAAAAACAAATGGACTAGTGGAGCTGGTTAAAAAAGAAAGGTCCACAGAGAATAAACAAAAAACTTACCCTCCTCAAGGCTAAATCTGGTACAAACTATTCCTTGATTCAAACCATACAGATCCTCCTTTTAGGAGTCCTGAATGAAAGGTAGAAAATAAATCCACACTCTCCCTACCTTTATTATTAACTTCATCTTTCCCAACTGAACTTCCATTTTTTCCTTACAAATGATCAGAGGAATCAAAGCCCTGTGTGAATGTCTTAACCACTGACATTTGTTTTGTTTGTATGTTGGCACTTGTACTTTTTCTCCTCTTTCCTCTTTTCCCTTTCTTATGGTGCTGGGATATGAGGACACTTTGACTAAGCAGGTTATTGATTGGATAACAAATGTTCTGCACTGCCCATCAGATCATATGACAAAGAGAAATGTCCTGAAAAACAGGTTACTCAAAACCACAATTCATTCATTGCAATTCATTTCACAGCAGACATATTATGGATGTATCTTACTATTTTCAAGTTACCTTTTAGTTGTGCAGCTGGCCTTAGAAAAGGGAATTACGAATTGGTAGGTTCCATTACAGGAATATTGGAGCGTGCTCTTTATTTTTTGTATAAAGCAATAGGAAACATCTATTTGTTTCAGAGACAATACTTTCCCTCAGAATGAAACTACACAGTAAAACTGTCCCTGTATTGCAGCATTACTCAGCACTAGTGCCACTGCAGTAGAAACAAGCAGTAAGATGCAAAGATGGACATAACTCAGGCTCTTGCAAAATCAGATTGTTATAATTGGTTGGTAAAAAACATCTGTGAGACTGGTAACAACACTGCACTGTTGGCAGTTATACCTAAAATAGTTCACTATTTTGTTCTTAATAAAGATGAGACCTTGTTCTGAATTACCATGAGCACAACTTCTCCCTGCAATCCTTATCCAGCAAGGTCCAACAGAAGCAGGGAATGCTTATTGTCAATGCTTTATGACAGATATCTTCACTTTTACAGCAGAAATGTTGCTGCATTATTAAAACAAACTATCAGATTTTCCCAAGTATTTTAATTAGCAGGCAATTTGGAGAAAGATTAGCCTGCTGTATCACTGAACATGTCTGGCATGGTGTGAAATCCTCTGATTTCTGTTCTGTGCTAATTTACAGTGGTAGACCAACCAGTATATTGAAGAAACATTAAAGATAGTCTAGATGAGAGTTACCTATTCTACTTTTGTCCTTTTCTCAATATCTCTCAGTAAGAACACAAGTATGAAAGGGATCTTCTTAGCTAACAAATCCAGTCCTCTGCCATCAAATCAATCATGTCACAGGATTGTTTTTATAAATTTACCTGACCTCCTTTTCAAAGTATTTTCAAAGTCCTCACTGCTGTACTCTGCTGCTTTTCTGATATTTGGCCAATCTTCTTCTAATTTTAAGTCCAAATTTATCATTACTTTAGGAGTTACTTTTCCTCCATTTACTCACACAGTCTTAATAACATATGCATCCTCTACTCCTAAACTTTCAGTTCACATTTCCCTGTGAATAAATCTGATTCTCATATTACATGGAATGTCATACCAATTCCAGTTCCAAATCATGAATTGCTACACATGCTTAATTTGTCTTAGTTGTGGAATTGAGTCAACAAATTGTGAGAAGAAAACAGAGAACACAATCCTCAAATGAATTAACAAACAAACAAACAAACAAACATAAAAAAACTCAAAAGCAAAACCAACAAAGAACCCAAGCCAAAACTGGCAAGTTTGAGAAGATTACAGAGTGGTTAAGTCCCATTTCTTCACTTTAGTGCACAAAAACATTAGCCTGGCAGTGAATCCGCTCTGCCGTCTCACACTTGCAGAAAATAACTCAAATAGGGGCTGGTTTCAATTGCAAGATGGATCTGGTAACTGTGCTATGACCAGTGATTCTTGAGTTACCTCTCCAGTGAATGAGTATTGCGTGACATCTGGCTTAGACTGGTAGTGCATTAACACATAGTCTGCCATCAGTAGAAAGCAGGAGACAACCCACAAGCCAGTCATGCACAGGATTTCTACCGAGTAAAAAACAAAGAAAAGAAATCTGTGTGGAAGGACTTGCATGATCAGACAATAAGTTCAGATCTGCATTTTTTGTTTGAAAAATTAATTGAGCAACTGCATGAGATCTTCTAGCCGCTCTGTATCCTCTTTTGGAAACTCTCCTCAAGTATTTTTACCTAAAATGAGTTAGATCTGCAAAAGTGGTAAATAATTTTAGAAGAATTTATTGTGGACACAACACTCAATTAAAACAGAAAGTTTTATAAGATTATACAGAAAAGGAAAGAGTTTGGTGTTTTCTTTCTTTCAAAAACAGCTCATTTTGGCCAGCATTCATCAAGAAGCTGTAGAAAAGAAGTTTGTTAAAGAACACCAAAAAATCTTGATTTTGAATAACGTACTAGATGGATGCTCCATCATTATCACTAACATACACAAAGATTAAACTTCTTATTGCTTCTGACAGTGATGTTGAGAGATGATATTATATTTCTTCTGCAGTAGCCTGACCGACTACAAATGTGTAGCATGCATGAACAGATGCATGTGAAGGTTAATGGTCATTGTAGTATCAGAATGGATCTTTTGCTGCACTTTTGTAAGATTACCTGATTTCTAGTTATACAAAACAATGCAATTCAGGTGGCTTAGGAAGATCTGGCCTTTCTTTTATGACTAATCATAGAATAATGTAGTTATTACGATAGTGCTGCCAAAATAAAAGAATTTACAAAGTTGGTGTTCACTCTAATGTAATTCTGTTGTTTTCATTGTCTGAACTTTCAATTCCTTCTTTAACCTTCTATTTTGTTTATACCATAATGCAGATTAACAGTAATTATGTTTCCCTGACTCAAGTACTCCTGACTTGAATGAAGAAAATAAGATAGGGGTAGAAGCATAAAACCTGAGAACTGTTTGTACAAGCAGTCTTATCTTAAACACTCAATGTGTTTGAAAGTTGTCCACATCTATTTCACCCCCTCAATATGAAACCACAGACTTAAGTTTAACTCCCATATTTAAAAATTCTGTCCATACCATCTGTTCCATACTGGAATTTATTTTACAATGGTTCATTAAAAGATATGCAATATTTTAATGCTTGATTCCATTCTGGTTCCTTTTTTCCTCCAAAGCACTTAATCAATAATAAAACAAACAAATAGAATTAAGCAATGCATAGATAAGCAGCCTGACAAATGTTGGTAACTATCTTGTCAAGTTTTAGTTCCTAAAAAGGGAAGACAAGTCCAACAGCTACATTTTCTTCTCTAAGAAGAGTCTAAAGTTACAAAACTTCTCCATAGGAGAATATTTATTTCACAGATAAAAATAATTTTTTGTTACTGCCTCTTTTTTATGTGTGTCTAACATTCAATTGGTTACCAGTTTCTAATCAAATTCCTCGAAAACTAAGATTTAGTAACTGCTACCCTGGTTTCAAAGATTACAATGTTTTACTTAGTTTGTGTAAGAATTTAGTGAAGGTAATAAATATTTTAATGCTACATCTTTTTTAAAAGTAACATAGAATTATACTTCCTTTGAAAACCAGTACTGCAGCTTTATTTCTACTGAGATCCCCCTACATGTGCTAAAATTCCAGTGCCTCCAAATAGAAACCTATAGTAGAGCCCCGCCTCCATCTACATACACATCCACGGGCAATGTGTTCCCACCATTCACTCATTCATTCTCATTTTTTTGGCACTGCTGATTGCATTTCCAAAAAGCCTGCGTTAAAATCTCCTTATTCTAACACCTTCCATGTAGATACCTTAGGAGGATTGCTGTCCTTATGCTAAACTGAGCAACAGTCTCTAGGAAGGAAAAAAAAATCTTTTCCCAGCCTCATTCAACTCACAAAACCTATACATCTGGACAATTTGGATTGGGCAAGGCTTTCAGGGAGCGGTTACTTGCAGGAGTTCTGCAGTCTATATATTTAACAGGACATAAAGAATGACTTGAAACAAAAGTGCAGAGCTGTAAAAAAACTAAACCATGGGGTGCAGAGGAATTAAGGCCACCAACTTCAACCCTGAGCAACCCACCATCCCAGAGCAAGGAACCAGTGGTGAGAAGGTCACAAACACAACACTCTTCCTAGGCCAAAGCAGGGAGCTTCCCTCTGGCACCAAGAATGTGCATGGTCCTTCCTAACTGCGAAGGCAGCCTTCAGCTTCTCATAGGGCAAATCTCAGCATGAGGGAGGCAGTGAACAGCTACACTCACATCGTTCTTGACACACGATTACCAGGCATTATCACAGCACCGCTGGTGCCCGTTCCCTGCAGCTTCCAGGTTTTGCTGGAGGTCTCAGGTGAGGCCAACCAGCTGACTAGGGGGTGGCACCCAGCCCTGCCATGAAGGATTTAAACAGCTGCTGGGAGTGCTGTGAACAGGAGTAGGCAAATGGGGAGTAAGACAGCTGGCTTCTGGAGCTTCTAGAAAGAGATAAGAATCTGAATAGCCCCCCTGTAATCCAGAAGGAAACAGTTAGTGACCTGCTGAGCCACTTGGATCCCCACAAGTCTATGGGAACAGATGGGATCCATCCTAGGGTGATGAGGGAGCTGGTGGAAGAGCTCACCAAGTAGCTCTCCATCATCTACCAACAGTCCTGGCTCACTGGGGAGGTCCCAGATGATTGGAAGTTGGCGAATGTCATGCCAATCCACAAAAAGGGCCGGAAGGAGAACCCGGAAAACTACAGGCCCGTCAGCCTGACCTCAGTGCCTGGCAA